CTGTCCGGTGAGCTTTTGTCCGGTGAGCTTTTGTCCGGGATTCCTGTAGGACACCCCTCGTGACTGGAAAAGGTGCCAGAAGCCACCCATTCACGTGTAAATGACTGGTCAGTCCAGTGTGAAGAAATTGCAGTCGGCAAATGAACGCGTCCGGGAAGCCGAACGCCCTCAGAACATAGAACAGGAAACGGTGTTCGACCCTTTCAATTGCCTGATCGAGAGAGACATAGGTCTTCAATAGATTGATGAAATTGGCATAGGCGAACAGGTCGCGTGTGAGACAAGGACGAACGTAAAAATGTTCCTCTCTGGCACAAAACATGACTGAAGTGGGCATACCAAGTAGAGCAAAATTGAATGCAGTCGCGAGACATGTAGAGACGCAACTATCCTGTAAAGCGCGAGAAACATGGACGGCAGAATCGTCCGATTCGACGTCCGATCCGACAGTCCGAACGCCGCTCCGAATCGCCGCCCGCTACAGTTTGAGACACACGTTTCCGATCTTGCATACGACACGACGATCCGTTCGGCTCCGCCAAGGAGATCCAAGCACTCCAGCGGAGGTCCGCGAAGTTAGAAGCTCGTTCTCGTTAGCGCGTGCATTCTTTGCCGGGGCCATCTTTCTCGAATGGGTCAGCGGGATCCACGCATCCGCCTTCCCGTCGCCCGTCCCGTTATCTTGTTCGTCCCGACAGACCCAGTACGTCATCATGACGTTCGCGCTAGCTGTGCTGTCATTGGCTGGACGCATCCGACAATCCGTCCGCCGTGCGAAACTATCTGGCGCGTTGGACGCACGTCGGTTCGCCGATCCGAGCGACCAAAGTTTTCGGATCAGGCAGTCGTACTGCCGGATCGGACGTCGGATCGGGTGGATTTTTCGCGCATGTGTCTCGCACTTAATCCGCGTCCAGCAAGCTGATCAGCTGCAAAGTCACAAGATCCGACAGAGAGCCACCTTCCATCGGGAGAACTACACGACCCCTCCCGAAGGACGGCGGCGCTTCACCAGTCTCTAAGAATCTATTAACAAGGCGGACTAAGGAATCGGCAAGGGTGTCCCAAAATGTAATGTAAAACTCGGCTGGCAAGCCGGAAGGGCCTGGGGCAGACCCGACCTTCATGGCCCGGGGGATGTTAAAGAGCTGCTCACGGGTTGTAGGACGGGCGAGAGAGCTCCTCAGGGCAGGCCGGAAGGTTTCTGCGGAAAAGGCGAACTTGCTCAGCGGAGTTCACGGTGTTCCCGGTAAGGTCCAAGCAAAAAGCCGACAAAAGAAAAAAAAAAAAAAAAACTTGGAATTTAGCGCTGATTTTGCGACGGTCCTCTTAAAGGCTACCGCTCGTGAGGCAGACACTAGGGAGTTTTAGCAGGTCGTTTCCACACGAACGGTTCGCCCTCGAACGCATCCGCGACGCCACTGCGCATGCGCGCGCGAGTCGTTCGGGGAGTCGGGAGGCTCTTGTCGTTCGTTTCTCCCATTCCGGCCGCTGGAGTCGTCACCGCAACGCAGCCAGCACCGTTCACGACTCGGGTAAAAAAAAAGATGGCGGTCGGTTCGGCGAGCGCCTTCGCCGACCCAGCCGAGCGTTAAGCTTAGGACAGCGGGAGGCGATTTGCCGTCCTGTCAGTCTGCTTCATTTGAGAGGTTGAACCAGATCATTTCGAGGACTGCTCACAATGGTAAGCGATCGTGAATGCTGTAAACTGCGCATGCTAGTAAATGTTTGCGATCTGCGGGCAAACTAGCTGCCGTGGCGACCGCGAGTTGACGAAATGATTTGGTTCGAAGGCACACAACACAACGTGAACAATCGTTCAAGTTCAAGATGACGGAGACACACCACATACCTTTACGATTGTTCAGACACTTTTTACTCTATCTAGCTTGTCAGTTCTCAAAATTCTGACCGATAAATGTTACGTCGGCCGTCTTGTTTACATCAGTCGTACGCCGGAAACACGAGCCGCCACCACGGTGTCCGCCACCGTCGCCGCGGATTTACACGTTGCAAAATGTTTCATATGTTTACTAGAAGATGGCGCCACCGTTAAGCACGATCATCATCATCGTTTGCACGGTCGCGCCACTTTCACGATTCGCTAAAGTATGTCAAATTTGACGTACGGTAATCACGAACGGATCAGCTGTACCGTTCGTGATTTCGGAACCGTGTGCTTGAAAAACGATTCGCTAAACGATGCGCGAGGGCCCGTCCCCACCGGAAAGTGCGGCGCAGACGCACCGAGACACCTCTGAGTCGTCTACACGGAATTAGCCGAATCTTTCAGCACCAGTTTCATTAGTACCGTACAAGCCCTAAGGCAAAAGATAGCGGTGCATGTAAATGTTGAACAGGCTGCTCAAATTGACTGTGTAAATTCAGCACATCTACCAGAAATAAATGAGTACGATCTCATGAACATTATTAATTCAATGTCATTAACGAAAGTGCCTGGGATAGACCAAATTCGCATTAGGGATTTGCTCTATAATTTTTCAAGTGTAAAACTGGTCCTCCTCGCTATAATTAACGGATGCCTGACAACAGGAAAAATACCGGAAGGACTAAAATTGTCAGTAGTGAGACCGCTATACAAAAAGGGTAGTAAGAAAGAATTAGGAAACTATAGGCCGATATCGATATTACCAACAATTGCTCACATTCTCGAAAAATGGGTACAAATATGTATGAATGACTTCTGCAAGAGATTTTCGTTATTGAACGACGGGCGATACGGTTTCAGGCAACAAAGGAACACTATTTCATTACTTGAAGTTTTCTCGGACTGTGTTAATGAAACGCTTGAAAATAATAAAGTAGCCCTTGCCTTGTTTTTGGACTTATCCAAGGCATTTGATACAATTGATCACGCACTCCTCCTATCAAACCTCAATAAGCATGGTTTCAGGGGCCCGTTTCAGAAATTCTTCACTGACTACTTTACAGACAGGTTTCAGATGGTTAAACTTGGACGCAGCACTAGTACAAAACTCAGAGTCGATTGGGGCCTGCCACACGGTAGCACACTAGGTCCGTTATTGTTTAATATGTATGTGAATGATCTAGGGTTATTACAACTACGATCTAGAATGTTTGAGTACGCGGATGATACCGTTCTATTCCTACCGCATGACAACTATAACCAGGCGGTTCCGCTGCTTCAAAGCGATATAGATGTATTAGTTAACTGGTTCTCAAGTAATCTCATTTCTGTGAACGTCAATAAAACTAAATTAGTCTGTTTTCGTAATCCCCATAAACAAATTACTCAAGCACCAAACATATATCTTCACCTGCATGATCATGCTCAACACATTTGCACGTGTAGACCATTACCTTATGACTCCTCGGTTAAATATTTGGGGTTAATATTTGACCAACATCTCCTTTGGAACCAACAAACCGAATTTATTATTAAGAGAATGCGGGTGGTATCGGTGTATCTTTACAAGCTAAAAAGTGCATGTTCTGTAGACTTGCGGAGAACTATTTTCAAATCTCTAGGAGAATCTGTTATACGGTATGGGATTACGATATATGGGAATTGTTCAGAGTACAAAAAACGGAGAATTGATAGAATCATAAAATATAGTGTAAACAATATTTCTTACGGGTCAGTGTTCGATAAATTAGACATTGTAGAAAAAATGCGCGCGTTAGAAGTATTGTCATTTAATCAGTTCCATAAATATGTGATAATAACAAGTAATTATTATAGTAGAACATTTAAACAAGAGGTAAAAAAAAGAAACTTGCGGCGTACAGATAGGTTCAAGGTCCCTAAGATACAAACAAACTATGGAAAAAAGTTAAAACGACACTATGTCCCTTCGATGTTCAACAGTTTGCCAGAATCTTTGCTGAACTTATCATCCTTTCGTGCGGTAAAACGAAATGTAAGAGAATGGTGCCTCACGCTCGCGCAATAATAATTAAATAATTGCTTAGTGCGTATTCGTTGCCCAAATGCCTACATTGCTGTTGTTTGTTTTGTGTCTCCAGTGTTCAATCTGTCACGGTATTTTGTTGGCTGCCTGGTCCCACATACAAGCATCTTTGCTTTTGTGGGCCAGCACGCTTACACCTGCATTTTTTTCAAAGCTAATAAAGATATTAATATTATTATTATTATTATTATTATTATTATTATTATTATTATTATTATTATTATTGTAAGAAATGTCTGCAGCTCAACCAGGTTGAAGGGTGGATTGCGTGCACAGCGTGAAAAACGCTGACATTGACGAGAAGTTTTGAAAGTGAGATATCAGGTCTATCTACACGACGCTTATTCGGGATGACTTCGGATTACACACAAAAGTGTGAGCAACGAGTTGGTCGAAATTACCGATCCCTATACCCAACGTCAAATATTTGGTGCTACGTTGTCGAGGCTAGCGATGCTTTCATGTGCTGCGTCCCTACTCTGCTGGAACGACACGTGACTTCATCTTGCGTCTCATTCAAACTCGCTCTCGTGCGAAGGAGACCAATTGAGACACCGTGGGAGCCGGGGCGCTCGGGAGATTTAGCAAATGGTCTATTGACGTTATTTCCCGGGCGTTTCGCTTTGCTGGGGCTAATTATAGTTTTGAAATAAGACGCTCTGCGCACGTGACACACACGAGATGGTGGCTTCGCAAGTTGGTTGATCTCTTCCGATTCAGACTTCTAAAACTTCTCAAAATTGAATTCATAGAATGGGAGCGCACCTTCCAATAAAGAAGCTTTGTAAAGTACCTCTGATTCTGAATTCGTAGCTGCCGGAAGGTTGGAGAAGCCGACTCGCCAAAATGAAACCGAATGGAAGATAGCAGACACCTTTTTGCCTTCAATATTTCCATCTGATGCTTCTAAACCTGAAAACCTTGCAAGCACTTTACCTGCTCCTGCTAGATAACTAAGAAAGAAACTGTGGATTCAAACAAAACCCAATTAAATCGACCATCAGAGGGTTAGCAACAAGTTTTTTTTGCTTGCTTTGAAAAACGCAGAGCGAAGCGATAAGGCCCAAGTAGACCCGGAGCATATCTGCCCGCTCGTCCGCAAGCTGATGGACAACTACAACCCCAGCAAGACGTCCAAAAAGTCAGAAAACGCTCACACGGTAAGGCATTTAATGCAGCAAGTTGTAAGCTTTCGTAGGCATAATGACCTGTAAAATCGGTCAAGATTTTTCTTTTTTTGTATTAGGGGCATGGTATTGAAATTTTCTTCGGATGGTTTCAGATATTTGTTTCTTTGTGTTTTATGTGCCGTCATGATCAGACATGGCCCTGCTCTTGATATTGGTACACAAACGCAGACAAAAAGCGAACTACGATGCGCTTATGCAACTCATGAAATAACGGTGGAATGGAAAAACACGGGTAACTCGGAGACGAGACAGAATAAAAACAGATAATCACAAACATCTCATAGATGTTGAGCGGGGTTGTTTGATTTTATTTTTTTTTCTCCCCAGTCTGAAGTTTTTTTTTTAATTTTTTCTTTATATATAAATATATATATATATATATATATATATATATATATATATATATATATATATATATATATATATATATATATATATATATATATATATATATATATATACAAAGTTGAAAATCCCAAGTCAGAGAAACAAAAACACGGAAGGTTTATTTCAACGTTTCGGCAAGAGTCTTGCCTTCGTCAGGAATTCCTGACGAAGGCAAGAGGCAAGACTCTTGCCGAAACGTTGAAATAAACCTTCCGTGTTTTTGTTTCTCTGACTTGGGATTTTCAACTTTGTGTACTCCACGCCTTCGGCCAACCCTACGCGACTATATATGTATATATATATATGTAGTCACACAGACGTTGCGTTTTTCGTTTTCTTATAAAAACAAGCGGTTTATTTCGACGATACCCGTTCGTCACCGAGACGGGTACCTACCTTCCGAATCTCGTTCATCTCGAGTCTACCTCCTCTTCTTCTACGTGTCCACACACAGCCTATCTAGGTGACGTCACACGCCGATGATACCACATCGCGTGGACCGGTTGCGGCATGCGTTCGCGGTTCTCGCGCACACGTGCCGACGGCTCCTGTCGTTGACAACATATATATATATATATATATATATATATATACAGGCGACAGGAGACAGGGAAAACAAACTGCAGATGTGCAGCTTGGCAAAGCCACTGCCTCCTACGGGCAGTTCGGCCGAAAGGGAAAAATTATTAAATGAAAGGGCGGAAAAAACACTCGGTGCACTGCAGGAGAAAATATGAAAAGTTAGAAGTGAATATTTTGCTTATTGTTTTCTTATTAAGCGCACCAATACAACCAGATAAGTCTTTTAAAAAGTTTGGTACTGTTGGTAGTGTCTACTGTACCATTCGAAGGCCATAATTTATTCTAAGACAAGGTACTCTCAAGGATACAACACTACGTACTCCATATTCAATATAATTGCCATTTAGTTTAAAAATGGGTGGTTAAAAAGCTTTAAGGGATGCCGCGTATACTGTCACAAGCTTATATTTGAAATATTCTCGTGCTTTTATTACTTTATGTTTATAGAAAAAGTGGTTCAGAGTGTGCGTAATAAGACGTATTAGCCACGACTCGAATTGACCTCTTCTGCACTGAATACAGTTAAGGTTTCTGCTGGTCGTGGTTCGCCATACGACGTGACAATAGGATGTACGAGAATTGAATTATGCATTATAAATTAATAGTTTTACACTATGGTAGTATACGGCTATGTTTATACGGAGTACCTAAAATATTCGAGAGTTGAAATGTAACGCTTTGAATATAGAACTCCCATATAATATGTTCGTTAAAATGACACCTACAGTTTTAACATGATTTACCAATTTAACTTCCAAGGAGTTCAGTACTAACTTTGCAGTAGAATTGGGCACTATAACTTTTGACTTATAGATAACGGCTTTTGTTTAACTTTCATCTCTTTTTTTCCTCAAAAAAATATAATATACAAAATTATAGTATCGTCGGCATAAATGACAAATGAGGTACTAGTTGCAATGGCGACTATATCAGTTATAAACAAATTGAAAAGTAGTGGACCCCAAGACACTACCTTGAGGTACCCCTGTCCGTGCTGGTTTCATTACCGAAGGCAAAGATGCTTCTTGAATGGGTGGATGCAACATAAAGAACGTGGAGGTTAAGAGCAGTTGTATACGGAGCGTCTCGAGGAAGACATTGATAAATATCGAAAACTCCTTTGGGTGCCTGGGAAAATTCAAGAGACGTGAAGCATTGGGTCTAAAACTGCAAGTAACCTAAACTGGGGACCCCATTGTTAAGAGGAATAAAAGTTTACTAAATTCGCCTAGATATATTCGAGCCGTAAATCATAGCGTTTCATATACTGACAAAGCCTGGCAGATTGCCACGAGAAGCGGCCGCCGAAATGGAAAAGGTGGAGTGACAGACAACGAATGAGAGGAGAGCCACGTGACAGGCGCCCCGTTGCGGCGAGACGCCGAAACACATTTCTCCCGAGGGAGCAAGTGTGTGTTCGGGTCCTCGCCAATGCAAAAGCTGTGCTCTGATGTCCAGGTTCTACGAGAAATGGCTCTTTGATGCTCTGTGCTACCAGGTGCTCGTGCTCCAAATCTGCGACCGGGCACTCTATGGTTCCGTCGTCGAACTGCCAGGCTTTGTGAGTATAGAGGAGGCTAGGGCTAACTATGTAAAAATATTAATAAACGAAATCGATAACAGCGCACCTGTATGCTGAACGGGGTGCGTATGTTTTGTTCTAAATGACTTACTCACGATGACTGGCGAGAAATTTAAAAACAGACATCGAAATGCGAGGTAGAACCTGAGATATTTGTTGTGTGAACTAAGAGCCAACTCCTTACTACTTATAACTGGTCTACAATATTTAGGCGCGTCAAGTGTCTAAGCATCGTGAAATCGCTGCTCGCTTCTCGCCATGTCGCCTCAATAAGATAACATGGATCGAACTGCCGCAGAGCCGCTTTGATTGCCAGATTTCTCGGCCAACTCTGCAATCCGATATCGTGTTGTGTATCTGTCTACCACATTACAGACAGCACAAATTCATCCCCAATGAGCGTCAGGTGACTCCGCAGAAAACAATAAATTTAGCCAGTGCGGTACCACTGCTAGCATGGGGCCTTTAACGTGCATCACACAGTAGGCATACACGGCCGCACAATGGCACGATGCTCATCCAGAGGGAAACGAACAGGGAATTAAATCCAAGATACCAATCCTCCGTACACGAGAGTGGGGAGGAGCGGGACGGAGAGTAAAGTGGGGCAGTCACTTTATTTTTTCGTTAAATAGTTAAGAAAACAAAACGATGGACAGCGCGATTTATGGCGCCACGGTAGCTGCTCTTTCACTGGTAATGGCGCACCTGCTTAACGTGGTGTCTTGAGACTGCGGTTGTCATTTTGGCACAAAAAAGTAGGTGGCGTACATTCACTTTGCTTGATTCTTGAACCAAAATGGCTTGACCAAAGAGTGTAATAAACTAACCTAAAAGAGGTGTGTTAATAACTTGCTTCTGAGTACCACTATCTCAAGCACCCATAACGTCCCACCTATCGCCACAACTTGCAAGCTTACGGTGCGCAAAGCTGTTTGGGAGGAATGGGATAGTATTTCAGTCCTCCTTGTATTAGGGGAATTCGCACGGTGGAGACATCCCTACCTTCCCTCCAGAGATGAGCGTCTCGTGGTAACAACGTCACGAATATGCGCGGAGCCGCGCTGGCGTTGACATCCCAGGGGGATGGGGGAGCTAGCTTTGCTCGGGCTGCACAAACAGCCCCGCCTTGGCGTGTGATCTCTTCCCAATTGAGGGTATTCTGTTCGCGTGTCTATGAACTTTACAGATTTTTCTCAGCGGGATACCGGCGATGGTTTCGGAATCGCCTAACTTGGGGTTTGCGCTTGCGCATGTCGTCCGAGGCCCCCGAAAGACTCCTTCGATACTCGTCAATTTCGTCCTCAACCCTCTCTTCATGCAACTGCATGGTTTTAACCTCCACGTTTTTGTGTTGCATCCACCAACTCAAAAAGTTTTTTTTTAGCATGAATTAGCTTGTTGTCTTCTGCATCTAACAGCACTGCTGCCATAATCGCGCATCGCCGTTTCATATGTGCCTCCATTTTTCAGCTCTCGTCAGCGCGCACCGAGCCCTGTTGTCGAGAATGGGCGCATTCATAACGCCTCCCTTCCCTCCGAACGGAGTGACTCGAGTCAGAACTCTTTGCATTTTCTCGACGGAAATCGTCACCAGTCAGGAAATGACGTCCTCTTTAGCTCCTTTCACTATACGTGCACCGTCTCCGGACTCGGTGCTTCGGAGCTCGACGCCGAGGTCCCGGAGTTACGTGCACCGGAAGTGACCGTTGGCCATCCAGTGGAAGGAGTCAGTGACTCCTTGACTCCGGGACCGCTACTGAACACGCCCATTGCGACCGCTAAATGCGTCTGATAAGACGGACATATCCCCCTCGGCTCCTTTTCAGGCTTAGACTAGGTGGCGCAAGCTACCAACCGTTACAAAGGGTATAGCCATTACCATCTATTCATCCATTCATGCCTGCCGTTCGTGTGAATGCTGAAGTCGGGGAGGGAGTCCCGCCAACTCCGCCGATCACTGACGTCACGCACATCCCTCCCCGAAATGAAATGCATCCCTCGTGTCTTAATTTCACTAAAGGGCAACTCCGCTCGATTCCGAAAATTTCGGGAATATGAGTGAGTTCATATTAAAAAGCACTAATAAAAGAGACTACGTCATTTGCTTCGCGAGAAATGGGATATATATTGTTAAATCTTACATTAAACATGAACAGAAATCGAAACCAAATTTTCAGCTCTGTCTGGCAACATTGGCCTCGGGCCGCCAAATACGTGAGCAGAAAACGGAGAGGAAGGGGACACATAAGGCGTGAGTTTTAGTAGTGAAAATCTGGAGTAATGTTGTTTAACGCCGAAAAGAGGGAACCTCTGAGGGTACAAGACCTTGTAATAGACCATGTAAAACATAGAAATATCCGGGAGTCTGGTTCAATGAGGGAAGGAAATATCTAGAGGAACATAAGAAAAATATAATTAGAAAGAAGAAAAGAAATTAATCCATTATGAAGCTCAAGACACTATGGCTCTG